CGCCGGGTGACGAGCTCCGGGCAGACGCCGCCTCCTTGACCTTCGGCACGCGCGAGGGGAGGCTCCTGCCGCTGCTGTGCCGGGAGGACTGCCGCCCGCGTGGACTCGCGCGCCCGGTCGCCGCGGGGCCTGGGGCAGCAAGGACAGGGCGTCTGACGTGCGGGGCTTCGTACGCTCGCCTTCTGCGGGGAGCGCGAGCCCGGCCCGAGTCGCCGGCGGGGCTGCCGGAGGCTTTCCTGGCCTTCGGGGGGCGCGGGCTGGGCCCACACTGGAGAGGCCCAGCGCGTCGCTGCGGGTGTTGCTCGCTGGCGCCCTGCTGGGAGCCCGCGAGCTTGCGCCTGGGCGGGGTGTCAGGTGCGAGAGGCCCGGGGGGTGCGGCTGCCCCGGGCCTGGGCGCCCGGCGGTCTCGGGCGGGAGCGGGCCGTGGCCCGGGAGGCCGAGCGCACGGCAGGCGCGTCCTGGAGAGCGGGGCCGGGCCCGGGGTCGTCTGAAGTTCCAGCCTTTGGTGGAAACTTGGCCTCTGGGGGGGCCCGAGGCGGTTCTCGGTTAGGGCCTGCCGGCCGCCCGCGGAACGGTGGGGCCCCCCTCCCGGAGCGGGGAGAGTGCGCGGGGCCGTGGCCAGGCCGAGGTCGTGTCCCCTCGCCTTCGCAGCGGCTGTCCGGGGAGCGCGCCGCGCTTCCATAGGCCCCTCTTGTTGCTGCAGTCGGCGGGCGCCTGGAGCGGCTTCGGGCTGCGGTCGGCCCGGGAGGGATGCTCTGATGCAGACAGGCGTCCGCGCGCGCAGGTGGCCGGGCTGCCCGGCCCCAGCAGGACTCTCCGCTCTCCCGGGATGCGGCACGGTCCTCCCTGTCCACACGCCGAGATGACTAAGCACTTGAGAGCGGGTGGGAATCTGGTGTCCTTTCGCTATTCTTAGTGCAGGTTTACTCCTGGTTTTCCGAGTCGTTGGGCGGCCCGCGAGGTTCGGTTTGCGTGGACCGCGGTGTTTACTCTCAGTGGGGGTGGATGGGCAGCCGGAGCCGCCCGGCGCTGAGGGACAGCGCCTGTGTCAGCGCGGTCTGGAAGTCCGTCTCGGGGACGTCATTTTTCTCTTCGGCCGAGCTCAGCGTAGGTCACTTCTTAACACCTGAGCTTTGAGGCTCGCTCTGATGTCCTTGCCCTGCCGAGTCTTGAAACTACGTGCGGGATTCTTCTGAGCCGCACCGGCAGTCCGAGAGAACCGTCCAGTTTCCTACTTGAATCCTGCCGTCCTCGTTTTAGTTTAGACGCGGCTGGTCTCTTGTGTTGGTGTCGTGTAACTTTTTGGACATACCTTTGTTTTCAGTGAGATTCGGCAGATTAAGGAAAGGACTGACTTGTGTGTTAATTGATAGAATGAAATGTAATGCCTTTATTTTTAATTTCTTGTTTTGTAAGTTTATTGAAAAGTGGTTTTGTTTTGTTTTAGTTTGCCGGTGCATCTCAGTGTGTTCATTTAGAACCGAGGTGACTTGAATAGCCGGAGGAATTTCATCCGATGATTCCATTTCATCTTGAGAATTCTAAGACTATTTATAAAGATTTTCAAATTTTAACATTTTAAAATCCAAGTTAAACTATATCGTAGAAGCATTTGCTTTCATTTTTCATGTAGAAGCACTGCCTTGGAAAGTCCCCCCATTAAAAATGTGTGGGTATAGAGAATAGGTCTTCTCCCGTCTCCCAGGGGTCATGACTAGTGAGTTTCCTGCCCTTCACTTTTACCTGTAGCTACACAGACATGCTGAGTGCTCTAGTGAAGGGGACGTACTCTTCGCAGATAGGTCTGCAGCTTGTCTGTTTCACCCAGCGCACGCCGGCCGTAATGACACACTTGCGAGTGGTCCCCTGGTCGTGTCCTGTGCAGTCAGCTCTGCATGCCTTGTCTCAGGAGATCTTGGGGTCAGTGAGGCTCTTGCTGCTGTAATACTGTTCCCGTTTTACTGATGAGGAAACTGAGGCACAAACAATAAAAGTGTCTGTAGAGTTCTGTAGCCAGGAGGCGGGGGAGCCACGGTTCAGATGCAGCCTACGGAACGTCCGGGCCCTCTGCTCTGTTAACCAGGTCGCCCACTACCTTCGAGGCCAGCGTTAGAGATCTGCTCCATTCTGTTTGCTGCGTGTGCTGCACAGGATTTGTTTGCCTGCTTTTCTGTTGATGGACAGTTCGTTTTCACTATTGGACAAGTTTTTCATTACTTTATAAGCAGTGCTGCCGTAGATATCCTTGTACCTATATTTAAGGGACAGAGTACATGAGCTCTGAGTGGTTTAAATTTTAATAGTGATTGCTAGCTTCGTCTCAAAAAAGGTATCGATTTACATACCTTCCAGCAGCGTATGAGAGGGCGGATTTCCTTTGCACTTTTACCAGCCCTGGATAATGTCAGCTGTTTTAAATTCGTATCTCCTGATAGAAAAAATGCTGTTCTTCAGTGAGCAGATTTTGTATACCTAGTCTTTGCCAAGCCCTGTGCCAGGTTCTAGGAAATCTGATGACGAGCTACTTGCCCGGCACGGCTGTAGGTACTTGGGATACATCCGTGAGCAACACAGATGGTAAACAGCCCAGCCACAGTGCGGGAGAAACATACTAAACTACAAACATCAGCAACTGATATGAACTGTCAGGTGACAAACGCTGTGGAAAAAAGGAAGAAGCGAGCAGGGTAAAAGGAAGGTGTGTGGGCTGGTCAGCCTTATTGAGAAGACGACAGAGGGTCAGCTATGAGGCTGTCTGGAGGAAAAGTGTTCCAGACAGGGTCCGTGTTTGCACATGCTTTTAGGAATGGTGTGTCTAGCATGTTTGGGGAAGGGCATGGAGGTCAGTATGGCCAGAATGAAGTTATGGGGGGCTTGGTGGAGAGGTGGGAGAGGGGAGGTAGAGGAGAGCAGGAGGACATGAGGTGAGGGGTCATGGCGTGGGGGCAGATCTCGTAGGGCCTTAGGAGCACTGATTGGCTTTCACAAGGGGAACCATTGAGAGTTTTGAGTAGAAGAGTGATGGGACGGGACTTATGTTTTAAAAAATCACTCTGGCTGCCAGATTGGCAACAGAGGACAGGGAGGCATGAGTCTAGGAAGAAGATGGTAAGGCTTGGACTGGATGTATTGACGGAGGTTATTATTTCGAGGGTATGGCCAACAGGATTTGGATTAGATACAGAATGAGGGGGAGAGAGAGAAAGAGAGGCAAAGAGGGAAGATTGCTCATAAGTTATTGGCTTGAGCAGCTGTGAGAGGTACGCAGTGCTATGAATGCCGATAATTTAGGGATTTGACCCAGTTAGGGAGTCTATAAGGTTTTCTAAGGCAGTGATGCTAGAGCTGAGATCCCAAGGGTGAACAGGGGTCCCTGTTTTGGGAGAAGCAGGGTGGCGAGAGTGCTGCAGAGAGGCCAGTAGGGGCTGGCCTGAGTAGGTTTCGTCCTCGGGGCTGAAGCAGAAGCTACTGGAGGGTTTTAAGCAAGTAGGTGACATGATGGCTTTTAAATAGTGATTATACATACTTGGTTTTCCCTCTGTTGTGCAGAATTTTTTTGTAGATCTGACCATTTTTAAAATTTTGTGGTTACGGCTCTTGCTTAGGAAGACCTCTCTTAACTCCCGTGTTTATTAAAGAAAACCAAAACCCTCATTTCTAACACTTTTATGGTTTTGTCTTTTATATTTAGTGCTTTAAATCATCTAGATTTTATTTATTTTTGAATTTTAATAGGGTTTATACTAAACAAATTTAGTATAAAGAAGTTCTAGCGGGCGTCTGGGTTGCTCAGTGGGTTAAGCCTCTGCCTTTGGCTCAGGTCATGATCTCAGGGTCCTGGGATCGAGTCCTACATTGACATCGGGCTCCTTGCTCATCGGGGAGTCTGCTTCTCCCCTTCCCTTCCCTGCTCTTGCGCGCTCTCTCTCTCAAGTAAATAAATAAAATCTTAAAAAAAAAAAAGAAGCGTTAGCTAAACAGGAGATTCCCTCAGAGAAAAAGAACACAGGAATAGCAAGTATGCTGGACAGCCGCTCTCTGTAGGGCCGAGGTGGAGAGCCCAGGGAAGAAATCAGTCTTCAAGAGGCCCCTCCCAGTTCTGAGATCAGACTTTCTTGGCCTTCGGGGAGGCTACTTTCTGGCTTGCTGGGAGAAGGCACCTGCATCTGGAATTTATTTTTGACACGACATAGGGATCTGATTTTATTTTTTTTTCAAATTGGATAGCCAATTGTTTTAACACCGTTACTCAATAATTCGTGTACTTGGTTCATTTAACAGAACTTGAGAGATCTCCCAAGTACTAAACTCGCAGAGATGCCTGATCTGGAAAGCGAAGCCGTGAGCTCACCCTGCAGCCTTACTGCTCTGGTACCCCGACCCATGGTAGCCCGGATTGTGTGATCGCCTGTAATCTGTACGGGTTACCCGGCTCCCTGCAGACAGAACAGCCTTTGACTCTTAAGGGCTCGGGTTCCTGAAATCCCGTGACCAGTGCATACAGGAGCTCTTTATGCCATGAAATCTGAGGTGCTTTTCTTGTATAATCCTTAAATCGAGTTTAG